GCCCTTCCCCACTAGAGACACGGGCGTGGTCTCCGGTGTGCAGAGCGACCCACAGAACACTGCCACCGAGCCTTCTCGCCCTCGGCTCCCGCCCAGGGCCTCCGTCCCGCGCCCCCCCCGCCCTGGCTCAGAGACTCCGGGCATCTGTCCCCCACCCCTTGTGCATTGGCCACATCTCGGCGATGGTGTCCGCAGTGTGCGAGACGCCGAGGGAAATGCAGCCGAACCGCCCGCATGGCCCGTTTTCACCCGGGGCCTCTCCCTCCGTCTCACCCGACCGTGTGAAGGGCACACGCAACTAGTCTTGCTGAGCCGAGCCGCGTGGGAGAAGCCAGTGGGCACCGGCGTGCCGACGGTGGGGGGGAGGTGCAGGGAGGAAGAGGGGTGGGATGTCGGCATTTTGGGGGGCTTCTCACGCACTTTTCAGTGAGACACAACACTTTGGGGAGCTTCTTTGATGGAAGGAAAGCATGTGGCGAAGTTAGCAGGTTAGGAAGGCATGCCGCAGACACCGTGGCCACAGAGAAGAAACTAGGTTCAGTGTCTCTAAAATCGAACGAAGCATAAATAAGCCAAGTGATAAGCAAATTCAGCATTCACTAATACGGACCATTTATCGCGGTGTCCTCTGGCTTTTTGTGGCCTGAAGGCCCAATAAAACCAAGACGAACACAGAATTTCTGTGGGTGCCTCTCCTGAAAGTACCTGAAAATGATGTTAATTAAAAGTGGTTTTCCTGGAAAGCACCCAAGCACTAGAAGGAGAGCTTACCTACCCAGTACCAAGAACACGCCGGACCTTCCGCTTTTCAGGGAGCGTGCTTTTCTCCGTGCCTGGAGCCAGCGTGGAGAAAGGAGCCCCTTGACCTGACTTTCTGGGCCACCGCGTCTCCCCTGGAAAGGGGCATGCAGTCACCGTGGGGTCGTCCGCACACTCGGACGAGGCCTGACAGTCTGCGGCCGCCCGCGGGCGACCAGAAAGGACCGGCAGCGGACACAGTGAGGCTGCCCCGGCGCCACCGATGCCCGCCGTCTCCCGGGCTGCACCCCCACGGCGGGCTGAGCTGGCGCATTTGCCGCCCGCGCTGGGCGCCCACTCACGGAGGGGCCGGGCCGGGCCGGGTTGGGCCTGCCCCCGGAGTCACTCAGCACAGTGCCCATGGCACACGCTCAACACGCTTCCAGTGTGCAGCGACCGTGCAAAGATACAACACGATTCTTCTTCCACGAACAGTTTACCACGACCAGTACCCCGGGTGAAATCTGTCGTCCTGTCCTTCCTACTCAACCCCGATGTCCCTCAGTACAAATGTCAAGCACAGGTCAAGTCCAGTCATCAGAGCCCCCTGGCCTGGGTAACCCCAAACTCAGTGAACTAACCTTTAGGACACTGGTACATGAATCTTACCCTGAGCAATGCATATCATTAACTTAACATCTGTAAACCTTCCCCAGCCACCTCCCACCTGTCCCAGCCTCCCACCAGGCTCTGGGGCCTGCCCACCCGGCCTTCGGTGGCTGCCCGGGAGCCCTGAAGGTCGAGTTGTTGGGGGGCGGGTTCCACCAGAGCCTGGCTGAGTCGGGACACTGGCAGTGGGCACTTCCCGGCCCTAGAAGCTGCCTGAGCTCTCGGGGCCCTGAGGAGGGCACCGGCGTCGGGGACGCGTTCACGGGTCAGGGCAGCCGACTCACGGGGGACGCGCAGGGTGAGGACGAGGGACGCGGCCACCCCAGGAGAGACGGTGCCAACGTCCACAGCTCACGACGCCGACCAGCGTGTTTACCACCCACGCCCCATGCCACGTCTTCACACGTGGTAGCTCAGCACTACCCTGACCCCGGGAGTCGGGGCTGTTACCACCCCCGTGCTACACCGAGGAAAAGCGAGGCCCAGAGGGCTTGAGAAACCGCCCTGCCCTGAAGGGTGGAAGCGAGAGTGCAGTGCCAGTGCACCTGACGCCAAGCCCCCGGCCCTCTGGAACTTCCCAACCTCTAGAAAGGGCTCTCTAGAATAACTCAAGGTTACGGGACGTGTTCCCAGGTATCCCATCGAGGGACTCCCTTCTGCACATTAAAGCTGCCCTCCTCCCTGCCCCTCTTCTGTGTGGTCAGCTCCAACAAACACACAACCACAACGTCTGACGTTAGTAACAGGCGGCTCTTACAGGAAGCGCTTCCCTCAGAACATTTTAGGGGCAGGAGCGAGTCCTTGGCTTCCCTGGGCCCCGTCTCTCGTCTGTAAAATGGGCTGAAGAATGAGCTGGTGCTGCGGTTCTTGGGCAACCTCAGGGCCCCGAAATTGGGGCTGTTTGCGGGGTGAGGGTCTGGCACACGCTGAGCCCTAATACCCTCCCCTGGGCTCGGGCACAGGAGTCCACGCGAGACATCCACTGTCCTTCCAAAAGGCCAAAATCGTTCCTGCCGGAGCTGAGTGTGCAGCCACCTCGGGCGGCGCGATGTGGACGCACCACGGAGAGACGGCGGCTGCACCCCGTGAGCCGCTCCCCGGTCCGATTAGGTGGCCCGGCCTCTCTGTGGGTGAGAGTTCACCAGATGCTGGGTCCTGGGTGTCAAGTCTGACGGCAGCAAGCCTCTCCCCAGGAGGCTTTTTAAGAAAGACGATGTTGTTTTAAACTTCAAGGGACAACCGTTACTTTCCTGCACGTGTCACCAGATTTTGAATTTCAAACAACAAAATGTTTCCACCTCCACGCACATTCTAAAATGTGAATTTCACAGAGACCATGAAGAACCATTTTTACTGCGTTATCTTTTTCGTTAGGGCGCACACAGAAATTGTGCAACTAGGTGTCCTCTTTCTCAACCTCTCGCCATTGACAGCGCTCCCTCCTAATTCTACATTTTTTGGTGATTCTCAGCTTATAACCTGCAGCGAACGCACAAACAAAGAGGCAGGATTCTCCGGAAAAAGATGGAAAGGCAGCTGGGCGGGAACGTGGGATTTACTGAACCAAAGCCGCTGACTGGTTGGCTCCCCCACCAGGTGGAGACCCCACGAGGCTGGGACTTCTGGGTCTTGATCATTTAGAGCGACAAGGCCCAGGAAAGGGCGGGACACAGAGTGGGCTCCCCACAAACACTCGCCCAGGGAATCGGTCGGTGAGCTTCCAGCAGGACCCTGTTTTGTGGGGCTTTTGCCTCTCTCGACAGGGTGGGTTGGCGTTGTGAGCCGTGCCCACGCCAGCTCGCAGCGTCACTGACAGGCGCCGGTGGGCGCACGGGTGGAAGGGAACGGGGCACCGTGTCGGCCTGCAGGTCTGCTCTGCACCACGAGCGCTTCTCTCCGGCACCCTGCGCGGCGTCGGCCGGTGCGTGCCCGCTGACTGCTTGCCCGAGGGCCCCGTTCCCTTCTCGGTGGTCAGACCTTGTGCATATCTGATGGGTCACCCATGCATTTTAGAAATGCAGTGTTTGCACCGGAGAAACTTCATTTCTGTTCCCTCCCACCCTGGGTCCCATTGTATCCTCCCCCGAGGCACTCAGCAACCGGTTCTCCTGCTGGACCGTGGCACAGCGCTGTGCGTGCTGGGCTGCCAGGTGGCTGCCCCCTCCCACCGCCGCCCCCAGGTTTGCCCCGTGTCTTCCTGAACCGCACCGGGACCTGCTCACACGCACACCACCCCTCCCTGCAAAGGACAGGAAATGAAAGGTGCTGTGTAATGAACCCGGTGCTTTGATGAATAAAAACTTACCAGGTATACAGGTAAAGGCAGTTTTGAATTTCTGTTTTTGTCAGCTTTCGCTTTTGAAAGTGCCCGAGTCCCACGGAAAGGACTTGTGCCATTGAACTTGCGTCTAATTTCTGTCAGCCAGGAGCTGAAGGCAAGCCCTCCTCCATTATTTGATTAATAAGTTGTACCGGTTGGAAAAGACGTCGAAACCAGCCAGGGATCCTTCCCAATCCCTTAAACTCTGGTTTAGCGATGCCCAAACAGAAACTTTTTAAACAGGGAGTTCCCTGTTGCCCTCATGCCCCTTCTCGGGCTGTGCCTAAAGCTCTTAATGGCTGTATCTCCTATCATGGCAGCTTGAACAAAGGAACCGAGATGAAAAATGGGACATTGTTCCAACGGCCTTGACAGCACGAGAAACGGACAAGCCGAAGCCCCGGGGGTGCCCGCCTGGTGGCAAAGGCAAGGGCAATGCCAACGCACAGCTCCACCCTGGGCTCCCCCGCGCCCTCCACCACCAGTCTCCTTCTCACTTGAACACACTTCACCATTTTGTCATCTATAGATTCCACGATGCAGGCTGGACCCCGGGAAGAAGAGAGTAAGATCTGACTGGCGAAATGGAAAAACACCCCAGAGAACGGCACGCAGATGACTTTGGGAACCCGACGATGACAAGAGGAGGAGGCACGGGGGGGGGGGGAAGGACACGGTTTCCAGGGTCCTCTGGGTGTCCCGGGGACCCCGAGCAAACCCGGGGCCGCGGGGATATTGCATCAGCGCCTCTCCGACTGGCCGGAGTGGATCGTGTAGCTGTGTTTACTCGTTCCTTGGGGTTAATTCTGCACGGGCTCGAGCACACCAAGGATCTGCACCGCACAGCGGCACGGGCGGGGCTCTGGGCTCTGGGCTCCGGTACGAGCCCATCACACACACGAGCAGGGTAGGGCTGGGAGGTCTGTGCTGGGGACTTCCGAGGTGCCGCGGGGGGACCGGCCAGCCCTCCTCACCCGGAGCACGCAGGTGACTGCCCGGGACCCTGCCCAGACGGTGGAACAAAATGAGTTAGAAATCCATCGGGGCCGGAGTTTATGCACCTCCTGCTGACGACCGAGGCCCGTCCCGTCATCGCCAAGTCCCAGCAGGAGCACCGGACCAGCACTCGAAGCACTTCAACTGCCCGACAGGCGCCCGTGGGTACGGGGCGTGCGCGTGACGACGGGCAGGGATCGGGCGGCCGGACCCCGCTGCGTCCTCCAGGGCGCGGCGCGGCCAGGGAACCTGCGCGCGCAGGGGCGGGGGCAGTTACCTCGCGCCGACTTAGGCTGGAGCTCTTGGAGCGCGACTTCTTGCGCAGGTACACGGAGAAGAACCTGCGCACGGTGAACTTCCTCATGCTTAGCTCCATCGCCCCGCGCCCAGCCCGGAGCAGCCGCAGGGCCGCAGGACGCGCATCCCCAGCGCATCCCAGGCGCGGAGCTTAGGTCCGCGGGCGGGCGCGCGTGGCCGGGGAGCCCGGCGGGGCGGCCATCCGCGCGGGGCGCAGGCTGCGGGCACAAAGGGCAGGCCGAGCCGGCCCCAGCGGCCGGGCCGCAGCGATCACTCCTCCTCCACCTCCACCTCCTCCTCCTCCTCCTCCGGCGGCTGCTGCCGTGCGAGGACCAGGCAGCCCCGCCCGCCTCCACCGCCGCCAATCAACGCGCGCTGCCCCAGGCGCACCCTCCTCTTTCTCCAGTCCCGCACAGACCGGCCCCAAGCGGCCCCACCCCCCCCAGCCCCGCCCCTGCTACTACGGCCAACCAGCGCCCGCCGCCACGCCCGGCCACACCCATCTCCTTGTTCTCCTTCACTACCACCAATCAGAGCCCACCGGCCCACCGCCCCAGGCGCTCACCCCTCCTCCTCCCCCTCCCTCCGCATAGTACTCACTCCGAGCAGGCCCGCCCCGCCTCCACTCCGCCCACCTCCCCCACCGCCAATCAGCGCCCGCCGCGGCGCATGCCTAATGAGCCCCGAGGAGGGCCGCTGTGCCGCACCGGGCTGGGCCAGCTGTGCGGCCAGTCCGCTGTGCCCGCCGCTGGCTCTCTCTTCTGCTCCGTTGACCGGCTGGGTTTTTTCTAGCTTAAGGGGTGTCATTGTTTTCCTTCCTTAAAGCCTACATTTACACACTTTGGCATAATGCTCTGTGCCGAACAAACACTTGAACTGTTGATTAGCAAACACTTCCAGAAAACGGAATAAACCCCGGGTGGGGGGCACGCGAACTCGCACCCCTCCCAGGCCCGGCCCCAGGACTCCCTCCTCTCCCGGGCCCTGCAGCTCAGGAGCCCAGGCCCGAGGGTCCACCCGCCACCTCCCCCCCCACCCCCGGGTGGTGAAAGGGTGCCCACGTGGTCGGGGACAGGGCAGCGGCTGGCAAAGCCGCCCTTGGCAGTGGTTGGAGAACAAAGACACATCCGTCCTCCCTGACCTCCGACTCCATATATAGAAAACCATCCGGACGGACGCATGACCCATCCGGGCCTGCACAGAGCGCCAGCCAGCGGCAGGGCTCTCTGAGGCCAGCTGCTGGTTGTAGGGCTGCAAGGGATTTGCCTTAAAGGGAAACGTACTTTTTTCCCCTACAAACACTTGCTGGAAGGCTGCAGGCAGTCCCAGATCTGTGAGCCGCGATCTTCGCAGCCTCTCTTGGATTACTCGTGTGCGGTGTCCGTGTGTTGAGTTTACATTTGAGACAGGGTCCAGCGATCTCATTAGCATACAGTCACGGGCCCCTGAAAAGTCGCCAGGCGGCTAGGCCGGCAAACTGCGAAAACCCTGGAGTCCTGCCCTCCCCTGGCAGAATCTAAGGTTGCATTAGCGCCTGTGAGAGGCCGTCAATGCTAAGGTGAGTAAGGAGGGCAGGGGACCCCAGGAAGGGCTGGCAGGTGCACGTGTGAGGTCGCGGGGGGGCCAGGCGGCTCTCACCGTGTGATGGGCGCTGCAGGCTCCGGCGGCAAGCACGGAGCTGTCAGTGCCAGGGAGTCGGCGCTGCCCCCGCTCCCCTGCGTGCACGCTCCCCACGCAGGGGACATCAAGCACCTTGGTGCGCCGCAGCCCCCCCCCCCGTCAGCAGGGCAGACTGCAGGCCCGGCGGGTCCCCCGGGATGCGGCTGGGCCCCCACGCTGTGTACGTGGCTGCCGCTGCCTGGCGCGTCCTTCCTGCCCTCTGGCACCCACCAGCTGGCTGCGCCTCTTTCCCACGACCCCCACGATTCAGCATGGCCCCCGCGGAGGCCTGTGGACACGGTTCCACCACAGGCTGTGTTGGGGGTCCTCCCCGGGGCCCGGTTCCCGTATCACAGCGGACTCCCACTCCCGGCTTCTCCGTCCGCCTCCCCGCCAACGTGGCAACACGCCGGGGCCCTCTTCGGCACATGCGCGGCACGTGTTTGTTTAAAGGGATTTTGTGACGGTTACTGTCAGAGCCTGCTGGCCGTGAAGAGCCCGGCCTACGTGATGACTTCATCTCAGCAACACACCTGTGGAACCTGCGAAACAGACACAAGGAACCCGCGTCCGGAGGTGAGGCCCAGGGAGGTGAACTGACTGTCGACGCTTCCAGGACAAGAAGGAAAGGGTTCGGACCGGGCTGGGTATCACGAGGTCGCAGATGCTCCGTGTGAGAAGCTCAACGCCGGTTTCCATGGAGAGGAACCCCGGGAGGGAGGAGCCACCCAGGGGTGACAGGCCAGGGTCCGCACTTCCTTTGACCACGGCACCGGCCCCGGGAATCCCACGAGTCCTGGTTTCCGGGTCAGAGCCCCGCAGCGTCGCAAACCTGGGCGGCGGCTGCACCAGCCCCTCGGGCTCTGGGCCCCGACGCTGCGGCGGTCTGGCAGCAGGACGCCGAGCTCCAGACCGCAGGACGGCAAGGCTTCCTCGTCCACAGTTCGCTCCTTTCTGAGACCGTGCGGGGACCCTAGAGAGGCCCGCCACATGCGTGGCTCTGAGAGGAAGAGACACGCAGGCGGTGCGCCAGGGGAAGGCCTTTGAAGACGTCTCATGAAGGTGCTGCGACTCGCCTGGTGCTTTCTAGAAATCCCGTCTACGGAGGGTAGGGGCGGCAGAGCCACCCTCTCGCTGCGAGGTGGCGGGGCCTGCAGCTTCACTACAGCTCCCTCGTTGTTGCGGGTCGCGTTGTGTCCCCCCAGAAAAAGCGGTGTTGGCATCCTGACCCCCGGGACCTCAGGAGGTGGCCTCATCTGGGGAGAGGTGGCTGCAGAAGGAATCGGGCACAGTGAGGCCAGACGGGAGCAGGGCGGGCCCTGGTCCCACGGGACGGGTGTCCTAATCACAGACACAGCGAGCAAGGCCACGTGACGACCACGGCAGAGACCGCAGTGCCACGGCCACCACCGCAGGAGCCGGAGGAGGCACGGAATAGCCCCCCTCACCCCGCCCACACGGCTCCGCGCAGCGCGGCCCTGCCCACACCTTCGGCTCAGCCTCCCAGCCTCCGGATCCGCGAGACCAAGCCCTCTGTCGCTGGAAGCGCCCCCAGTTTGTGGTAGCCATGGCAGCCACAGGAGACGACCAGACACCGCTCATCGCACAAGTGTCACAGGGAACCTTGGTGACAGCAGTGTCCGCGGAGAGGCTCCCGTTTAACGCAGCACCTGTGCTAACGGGGCGTGAGGAGGCTGAGGGAGGAGCAGAGAGACAGGGGCTGTTCTGGGGTCTGCCGGTCCGCTCGGGGAACGGGGCTGCGGAGGAGCTGGGCGAGGGAGGGAGCGCGCAGCAAAGAGGAAACAGACGACACTACAGCAGGAAGGATTGCTGTCCCTTAAAAAGGAAGAATGAAATGCTCATCGCAGGAAAGTCTCTCAAGGCCTGGAATGGGCACAGAGGGGAATATCGTTGCCAGAAGTTTGTCTGTTTGTTTTGTTTTGTTTTAGCGAGCCATGTTCATCTTCTAAAAAACGTTTCGTAGATACCTACGGCATTTCCAGCAGGAGGCGCTCATATCAGAGACAGGAACTAGTGGACACACAACACGGGCTCAGGGACACGGATGGGGGTGGGGGGTTCGGCTGTGGCCGTGTGCCGGGTCCAGCCCCTCCTCCCAGTCGGGGGCGGGGCACCCTTCCCGCCATCGAAGACTCCCATGTGCAGAGGGAGCTTTCCTCACACAAAATGCCGGCTAAAACGAGGCTGGGGGTCCCCACCTTTTGGAAACGTGACTGATCCAATAGTAGGTGGGGGGAAGGGATTTAGGCCCCAAAATAAGGCTGAGACGGGACTCCCCGAAGGTGTGCATGGTGTTTGTCCCGCAGCCGAGGTTTCAGCAGGGTCTGGGGAAGGGCGTCCTGGACAAGGCCGTGGGGGAGGGGAGGCCCGAGCCCTGTGCGGAAGTCAGGACCCTCGAGGAGCCAACTGTTGGGGGGGCTGGGCACACCCCTCCCTCCCCAGCAGGACAGGAGCTCCTTTCCTGTGACCGCAGGGGGGCCCGGCGGGGCCGGGCCAGGGGACTCTCTCCCCACAGGCGTCTGCAGCCCGTGTTGGCCAGTGTGAGGCTGCAGCGTGACCCCCGGCGGCCTGGAAACTGCCTGGCCAAATTTACTTCTTAAGGGGTCCAGACGGAGCACCCCGAGGACCAGGCAGAGGCGACCGTAAGTCCTCTGAGGCACCCCTTACACGCGCCCAAAGCCCAAGCGCAGAGGAATCCCAAGGGGCGCGAGTCGCAACCATAAACTGCTAAATGCACAGGGGAGCGAGCTCCCGCCAGCGGGAGTCCCCAGACATAACAAACTGCAGAATCAGACTGACCGTTCTATCTAAACAATACAAAGTGTTTGTTCAGTATGTTTAAAAAACAAAGAAGAGGATTGGCAACATGCCCAAGAAAGGAGAGATTACAGACCAATCAAGCAGGTTTGTACACGAAAGTAAAACTTTCAAAAGTAAACTATACATTTTAAATTCAAACTCAATAGACAGGATAAACAGCAGTGTAGACAAAGTCCAAGGAAACGTTAACAGAGGAAAATGGATGGAATGCGCACCAGAAAGTCGCACCGACGGGAAGGAAGGGAGGCAGAGTAAGAGGCGCAGAGGCGAGGGGCGGAGGGAAGCACCAGCCTGTGTTCGAGCCTCTGTCGGGGCGAGGGGACAGGACGACAGGACGACAGGATGGGGGGGCAGTTGTGAGCGGGATTCACAGCGGGCGGGCGAGAGTAGGGAGCTGTCCGTCCAGAATTCACAGGACTCTCCAGTCCTTGTAGCTAATCTTAAGAATTAAATAAAAATAACCTATACCCAAGTACATCATATTCCATCTGCAGAATGCCAAAAACAGGAAGAAGATCTCTCTGAAGCAACCAGAAGAAAGGACAGATTTTCTAGGAACCCATGTCAGGCTGTCGGCTGGCCTCTCCCCCCGGAAGCCGCATGGGAGGGCTGAGAGGAAACAGTTCCAGCCTCGAACTCCCTCCCGAAGGCTCTTTCAAGGACAAGGGCAGCAGAAAGACGCCTGGGGCCCAGCCGCCCGAGGGCGCCGGCGCCCAGTGAAAGCGTGGAGGTAGGCGAAGCCCCCCGGAACGTGTGAAGAGAAGTGAAAGTATCGCATCCCCCAT